CCAAAAAGATCTTTCTCTAACAAAATAATCTTAAAGCAAAAAAAAACTATATTATAAATATCTGACTATTATCATTATTTTGAAGCAACACTAGCAAGAATTTGTAAACATTTTGGTATAGAAAATACTAGCAATAACTATATTTCAAATCTAATAGAATATGTATTGCATAAACTAATATTTAGTATTAATACTCTATTAATCACCAAAAGAATATTTGTAAAAGTGGAACAGCAAAAACATATTCTCTCAAAACATTTAAATTGATGACAATAATTTTTAACAGCCAAAGTTTATATATACTACAAGGATAAATCGATACAGTGGCCAGAAAATCAAGTAAATCTATTTACATACCAGAAGTCATTAAAGAATATTACTCTATTAAACTAATGAAAATAATAAAAAAAATAGCCCCAATATTTCATTATTTACAAATTTTATTACAAGACATAGAAACTGCTATATAATGAGAATATTCAAAAGCAACAGAATTAATTACATGATATAAAAATAAGAAGTATATTGAACTATTAATATTAGGATTGTATATTGACAACAAACTACAATATAAACTAACACAATATTAGTACCACAAAAAGATAACAAAGTATCAATTCTCAACTAGAGAAAATAGAGAAATCTATAACAAACTCTAGCTAGTCTTTAAAGATTATATTTACAAACTCAGACAAATTAGAAATTTTGGATATATATTAGAACTGAACAATTAAAATGATACTAAACACATATATAGCAATAATACAATACTGTGATGATAAAGCACAGTATAAAGTGCACTTTATACAGAGAATAGAGTTAAAAACACTAAACTAATAGCAAAATGGTTGCATATAGAATGCTGTCACAATAATCAAAAAAAAACTTTTATGCAAGTAACGTTAGATTAGATCAATCGAACTATTATGTGACTCACATAGATTATGTGATGTTTAGCCTTGACTAGGATCGAGAATAATTCACTTATAGTAATAATTAATGATATGCAAATTGGTTATGAGAAATTAATCAAAATATAATAATAATGTATTAGAAATATAGTAATCATCTGATAGGTAATATGGTGTGATTAGTTAAATTAAAAGTCTAATGATTGCATTATCAAAGTATAATGTAATTAGTATAGAAAAAGTCTGTATATAAGTAAAAAAAAAATAAAAAGATTGAGAGTTTCTTTTTGAGTTATAATAGTACCAGCCCAACTACAGTAATAAAGATACTTACACTATAAAGCCCCTAAGTGGCCTGTGTATTTTGTGCATTCACTTGACTTTTGAGTTAGAAATTAGTAGCAGTGGTTACTATTATCAGCAAAAAATAAATACAAAATATTGCAAAAGAATTTGCAGTGCCAAAATATTTCAAAATTATTGCAATTTATACGAAATATTTCAAAAAAATAATTTCAAAAAATTTCAAAAAAATTTCGAAATATTGTGAAACAATTTGCAAAATATTTCGAAAGATTTAATAATATAAAAGATAAAAATAAATTGAAATATTTCAAAATATTTTAAAATATTTTACAATATTTTGAAATAATTTGAAATATTTTAAATATTATTTTTTTATAGAATAAACCAAAATATATTAGTTAGTTTTGAATTTTTTCAAAATAATTCAAAATAATTTGAAATATTTTGAAATATTTCAAAATATTTCTTCATTTTTAATTTATATTAATTTTAATTTATATATTTTATTTTGAAATATTTGTTTATTTTATGTTAAATAAATTGTAATAAAAATAGCAAAATACTTTTTTAAACAAACTTTATAATAATACATTTTATGAAATTCTACATATTCTAAATACTTCTAAACTAATAAATCAAAACCTAACTATTGACTATGCTTGCATTTCTAAAATTCATCTTCAAAATTTCACATTCTAATAAACTGAATTCTTTTAAATCCAAGGTTTCAATCCTGGTCTCCATTAACCTCCTAGAGAAGAAAAAGAACTAAAAAAAAAAAACATTAGTAACGAAGCAAAAAAATGACAAAACAAAGAAAATTATGACTAGTACTTATCTTAGTACCAGTTCTGGGTTCAAGATCCAAATTCCAGTCTCTATTAACCCTTCCCAGCGAAGCACAAGATCTATATAAGAAAAAAAATATTAGTAACTATACAAAAAAATGACAATACAAAGAAAATTATTACTGGTACTTATCTTAGTACCAGTTCCAGGTTCAAGATCCCAATCCTGATCTCCATTAACCCTTCTTGGTGAAGCACAAGATCTACAAAAGAGAAAAAAATATTAATAATAATGCAAAAAAATGACAAAACAAAGAATATTATGACTAGTACTTATCTTAGTACTAGTTCTGGGTTCAAGATCCAAATCCTGGTCTCTATTAACTCTTTTTGGTGAAGCACAAGACCTACAAAAGAGAAAAAAACATTAGTAACGATGCAAAAAAATAACAAAACAAAAAATATTATAACTAGTATTTATCTTAGTACCAGTTCCGGGTTCAAGATCCAAATCCCGGTCTCTATTAACCCTTCCTGGCAAAGTACAAGACCTACAAAAGAGAAAAAACATTAGTAATGAAGTAAACAATGACAAAACAAAGCAAATTATGACTGGTACTTATCTTAGTACCAGTTCTGAGTTCAAGATCCAAATCCTGGTCTCTATTAACCTTTTCCAGTAAAATACAAGACCTACAAAAGAAAAAAAACATTAGTAACGAAGCAAAAAATGACAAAACAAAGCAATTTATGACTGGTACTTATTTTAGTACCAGTTTCAGATTCAAGATCCAAATCTCAGTCTCCATTAACCCTTCCTGGCGAAGCACAAGACCTTTAAAAGAGAAAAAAAACATTAGTAACAAAGCAAAAAATGACAAAACAAAGAAAATTATGACTAGTACTTATCTTAGTACCAGTTCCGGGTTTAAGATCTCTATCCCGGTTAGTAAAAAAAACAATAAATAAAAAAAAACTAAATCAAAACAAAAAAAAAAGGATAAAAAAGATCTAAAAAGAAAAGTAGAAAAAAGATAAAGAAAAAGAATGAAAGATGAAAGATCAAAAAAAAAGAAAATCAAAAAGAAAAAGATCGAAAAAGATCATAAAAAAAAAACTAAAACTAAAAAAAAAACATCAAGCAAAAAAAAACATGTGTAGATTATCATCTACAACATACAGTAGATTGATACGTTAGTTTGTTAAAATATTCGAAATAATGCAAATTAATTTTCCCTAATATTTCAAAATATTTACCTCAAAGTCAATTCTAAAAAGAAATTTATACAGTACAAAGATTATTCTAATATATATAGTCAAATATAAGCAATGTTTTTAAATAATTTTGCAATATTTCGAAATTATTTTGGTTAAAATTTTTCGAAATATATTTCAAAATATTTCGAAATTTCACCAAAATTTTTTCGAAAATTGCATTTTTCGAAATATTTCGAAAATTATTGCACTTATTTTCGAAATTTTTTTGTATTGCAAAATCTTTCGCAATATTTCGCATCTATAAATTTGCTGATGATTAGCCCCTTATTTGACGACACCCATACTTTGAAGAGGGTTCTGATCAATTCACCGACAATCATTTCACCGAACGCTCATTTAGCCGACATCACATAGGGTTAGGGTTTAGCATTTGATTAGTTGCAGGTATATAATTTTACTAAATTTCACCTGGCGTGATGTCGGCTAAATGAGCTGTCTGTGAAGCGATTGTCGGTGAAATAATACAGACCCCTTTGAAGAATTATGCAAAAATATTTTACACAAAGAATATGAAAAGATATTTAATGAATACAAAGAAGCGGACTAACAATAGGAGAAATACAACACTTAGTAACAACAATTCTGTTTATAAATATTATCGAACCGAAGATATTGATAGGACAAAGATTCGATAGTCAACAAATGATGGAATAACAGCACCTCAATTACCAAATGCTTTTACAGAAATTATCGCAGCAATAGAAACACAAACCACATTAAACAGAGTAATTCAACAACAATTACTATTAGCAATAGCCATAAACAGTTACCTGCCAGAACATACCTACTTACAAGAAAGCAATGTGACTACTTTAATACACACTTATATTTATCCATACTATTTAGAGATAAATGAAGAACCTGAAATTAATAAAAGAACTAAATCATATTACCATCGGAATTGGTATACCAAGAAACAAGCAAGCAACATTGAAACAATATTCAACGCGATAATAACATACAAAGTTATTAAAGAAATACAATTAAATCAACCTAAATTAGATTACGACTCTGACCAGGAACCAGGACAAAACCAACTGCAACCTTATAAAAATTCAGAAATACAAGAATTGGATCTCAAAAAATGCAAAACATATCAACTACAAAAAGCACTGCTATGGCACAACAGAGAACTAATAAAACACCACGAATGTGCGAAATATCTAAGTGAAATAAAACGAAGAATTAAAACCGCACGAAGCGAAACATATTTCCAAAAAATATGAGAACCAAAATATTTGGAATATTAGGCAAAAATCCTCATGTATACCGAATAAGCCAACAAGACGTATATCCCTATATACAACAAAGAATATTTAATTATCATATAAAACAACACGAAGAACGTTCTGAAAATCGAACAACACAAAAGGGATAATTAAAATTAGACCGTATAAAGACTCTAACCGAATAAGTGATACAATAGAAAACTTAATACAAACATATTATTTCTATGTAATGGAATAAGTAAATCATAAATCAGCCAAAAATGGAATACCGAAATGATTTACATTAATTAACCGGCAAAATGCCCGGACAATGAATCTAACATTTAGCCTATATCAGATATAGATTTGGCATCGCATGTAGCAACAGTTCTTTATTAAACTATGGAAAATATTTCAGAGTATTGGTTAAAGAAAGCCATTTCCGATGGACATATTGAATATAGTGAATTTGATGAATTTACTAATTGCGAATCTATTGATGCGGGAGCATTTGGAACTGTTTATAAATACGAATGGAAAAATTGTGAATCAGTTGCACTTAAATGCCTTAATATTGGCATAAAGTTAGAAGAAGAAGTTATTCAAGAATTTATTAACGAGGTTAGTAATTGATTTATAAAAGCTAAAACATCTACTATACAATTTTCGAACCACATAATACAGTAATAAGTCCCTATAATTTTTATATTAAAAGCTCAGAATCTTAAGAAGAGTTTCTAGTCATCCAAATATTATTGCATTTTATGGAGTCACAAAAGGTAATAAATTTTAGATTTAAAAAAATAAAACATAACTAATTTACAGTATAAAAACACAAATAAATAGACCACAAAGGATTTTATAATTTGATTTTACAATATGCTAATGGTGGAAATTTACGAGAATACTTGAAATTAAATGAAAGATTACCATGGGCAAATAAGTTAAATATTGCTAAGGGAATATTGTATGGCCTCATATTCTTGCATAATAAAAATATTATTCACAGGGATCTTGTAAGTATTAACCATGTTATATGTATCATTATGAGTATTTGACAAGCACTTGAAATTTTAATATTTATATACTATTTTATAGCATTCAAAGAATATTTTGATTCATCAAGGACAACCAAAGATTGCAGACTTCGGACTGTCAAAACATTTAAATGAGGCATCAATAACTTCGAACACAGCTATTCATAGAATACTTGCATATGTTGATCCTAAATGTTTTGACCCAAAGTATGCCAATAAATATAAACGTGATATAAAACCTGATGTCTACAGTTTTGGTGTAATTCTTTGGGAAATTTCTAGTGGAAGGCCACCATTTCAAACCGGCCAGCTACAAAAAACATTCTTGATACATTAAAACAACTCTCTGATGCACCTTTAAGCCAAGCTATTACTTACAAAGCGTCAGTTAAGCATAAAAGCTCTTCTATAAATCAAGAGGTGAAAGTGCCTGAGATCGATGCATCATCTTCACTTCATTTACCTGATTACGTTGATATAGTAGATTCTCATGGAATTGAGGCGTCTTTTCCTGATACAACAAACCCAAATCCTTCAACTAACTTAGTATTCTCAGAAGAAATCACTTTCACTGAAATTGTGACACATTATTTTTCTGTAATTGGTTTAATGAAACCTTTAATTACTGAAATTTATCAAACTTATGAGAATGCAGAATGTAATAAAGAAATTTGCCTGATTATGACTAATAGAGCAAAAATAGCAGAATATTTCATGTATAAAGTAATAAGAAGCGTAGAAGAGAATAAGAAAGAATTTCGCAAAAAAACGCATTATTTAGCTTTTGAGAAATTTAAAAATATTTTATTCAAGATCAACTATTTTACTGAAAATATATCAAAGCTTAAAGGTTATGAAAGATTTCTTGGTGCAGCATATGTCAACAATAAATATGAACAATTAATAGATGAATATGATAATAGTGTGCTTGAACTACACTTTGCCATTGATGTATATAATGTAATTGATAGAAAAGAAGATGCTCAGAAGTTAATAATGATTTAGAAGAAGTTAGTCAAGTAAGTATAATTATTCTGAAATCTCACAACTTCATGCTAATACGCATTACTTTTTTTTTCAATCGTCTATTTTAGCTTCTTAAAAATCTTGGTAATATTGAAATAATATCTCAAGCTGTAGACTTATTAAAGCTTCAAAAAGTAAATGATGTCCATGTGGAAAATATTGATTTTGAAAAATGTTTAGAAGATCGATCGGATAAAGATATACGTAGCAAAGTTATCAAGAAATTTTATAAACCGTTAGCCGTTGATGTTGCATGCAAACCTATTAGAATGTCGGACCAAAATAAAATTGAATTGGCAATCTTTGACAAATTAGGCCAATCACCTCACATTCTTCGTTTTTATGGTCTCTCAAATATTAATAACAGTCAAGTTATGGTTTCTACATGGGCTGAATGGGGAAATATAAAAGAACTTTATGGCAGATTTAATATTTCCTGGCCTAGAAAAATAAAAATTATTAAAGATATATGCCATGGTGTTGCATTTTTATGTGCAGTAAATGTTCACCATCGCGATATTAGATGTGAAAATATTTTTGTAAGTATATTTAAGTATAATTAAACAACATATAGTATTCACCACATTATATTATAGGTACTACAAGATTTGAACGTAAAACTTGGAAATTTCAAATTTGCAAATTATGATCATTCCGATACCCTGGGTATTTCTATAGATATTAATAGTCTTAATTGGATGGCTCCTGAATTAATAGAGAAATATAAAAATTATAAAGGAACCGATTATACATTTAATTGTGAGATGTTTAGGTATTTCCGTATTATAATAACCTCTGAATTGTATTCATTATTTTATTTTCTACTTCTTTTAATTATTGCTCTTTAAAATTAGTTTTGGAATGCTTATATGGGAACTTTGCTATGAAAAAGTGCCTTATGATGGATGGGAATTAAGAAGGATAGTAGATCATGTTTTGAGCGGCAAACGGGAAAAACTTTTGGAAAGAAATTTTAAAAATTCTAACAATAAAGAGATCCAATTAAAATTTAATAAAATGATTATTAAAGGTAATTATTATTATATCAGCGTTTTTAATTTTAATTTATTATTTGCTTAATTGATAAATAGCATGGCATCATAGTCCAAGTTTGCGAGTATCTATTACTAGACTAAACCTAAAACTCGAAAAGATGGCCGCAAGATATCCAATTCCCCTGATGAATCACCATTTTTAAGTGATAAAGCTGAAATTATTGAAGAAAATTTTGATGAAATTGGTGAAATTGTTGTGGATAATTTCGTGGTGCCGATAAAAGATGGTATAGAGATGCACAAAAAGAAGAATTATGAAAGTGCATGGAAATGTTTCAAACAAAATGCTGATCTTGGTGATCCGATTGCCAACTTCTGGCAAGGATATTATTTACATAATGGATTTTATGTAGAAAAAGATTTGAATCATGCCAGAAAACTCTATAAAGAAGCTGCTGATAATGGTCATTCTAAATCACAGTATTGGTATGCAGTTATGTTGTTAATTATGTTGCTTCGTGATTCTAAAGATGCTGATGAATCTACAAAGGATAAAATACGCAAGGAAATTGTATATTACCTTGAATTAGCAGCTAAACATCCTAATGCCAAAAAGGCTGATGCAATGTATTATTTGGGAGATATATATATAAATGGAAAACTTAAAGTACAAAAAAATGAAGAGCTTGGTTTGATTTATTTGAGATTAGCAGCGGAGAGTAATCATGAAAGAGCAATAGACTTATTAAAAAAATTAGGAAAATAAATTTTGATTTGTTACATTTATCGTTTTCATAGACTTGTAAATTTCTGAAAATTTATCTTATGGCCACAACATTTGTTAACATTAATCTTATAATGCTTGACCTCTGACGATCATCCATTTTTCAGAAATCAGCGCTTTTTTTGTGAATAAATCTAATTATTTTGCTTGCAAAGAAAATTTTGTAAATTTTTCTTTGATTTCACTTTTCTAAATCTAAAAAGGCTGATTATACTTTACAAGAGAATTTACGTCTAACCGTTTATCCACCCTCCTGATTATTTTTCATCAATCAAATTAATCAATACGAACGTTTTTTTTTTTTTTGACTTACAAACCGCAATAATTATTGATTGGCAAATGATGAAAAATAATGATTTCGACTTTTTTCATTAACTCTGATACCTAAGTGGCAAAATCATTATCATTACGGACTAATTTAATGCAAGTTAAATAATAACTGAATAGTTCACTTATAATATGTATTTTGATTAATAACGTTATAGGTCAAACACCACACCAGACAACCAACAAAAGGAACGGCGTCGCGCAACGTTACCCATCGATAGAGACGGAAGCGATTTGGCGGTCTAAGGCTGGAGTTGAGTAAGTTACACGGAACGATTAGGCGTTACGATGGTCAAGGTAGTCTTTAATAGATTATTTTATGAACGAACTGGGGACTAAATTACATCTTTTTTTTTTCTTCTAAAACTAAAGTGCCTTGAAAATCAGAGACTTTAAATAGGGAATCCACAGGCGGGTTCCAGGTATGGCAATTAGCAGGTAACCTGTAGGCGGAACCTTTAAATAGACAATGACTAAAGTTGTACGTGTGGCTAATTGTAGCTTCATTGATAGACTTTGTATATTAATGATGTAATCATATGTTACCTTAATAAAAGACATACAGGCAAGATTGCCGCTTTAAGGAAAAAAAAACTAAAGTGCCTTTTATACATTTTTATAGGGAAGAAAAGAAGACCAAATTCGAGGAAATGTCCACGCCATCTTCGTTACTCTTGCATTTTAATTACCCCATTCGCGCCGACAGATGAGTCATGAAACACTACATTAGGGCCAGGTTTACAATTACAAGAGGCTTGTTTTGTACTAAAATTTTGCAAGGAATTTTTTTTACTAGTGTACAGAAGAAGGTTTCATAGATGAAATTTTGAGTTACCAGGCGGTTGTTAAAAAAACGCATGATTTCACGTTACACCTGATCTTGTAATCTAATTGGTCAATTCGATGTCGATCAGTGAAAATCTGTCGGTGCCACTGGATAGTTAGTATTTTCCCTCCCATTGACACAATTGCGCAATATTACTGTCATGCCTGAAGTTGGTACCTGCCTAAAACCGCTAACTAGTGTGCAGGATGATCTAATTTTAGGACCTAAATTCAATCAGGTGCAACTTCAGGCAACTTTAGTCGGATGCCACGACATTACCACGGCCACACACTTTACCTGACTCCGCCTCATGGGAAGACATTCATATAATTGGCTAATTTTTGTAGATCTACCCGTGATTTCCCGTGATAGCTAACCAATCA